CGAGCGCCGGTACTTGCCGTAATTCTTCCTTACTTAGAATGTGCTTCATACGGAAATTCGCACTAAAATATAATAAATTAATTAATATAAAAATAAATAATTTCCCAAACGATAAAAAAAAAAAAAAAAACGGCTTCCCTCGATTCCAAACTTTTTTTTTTTTTAAAAAAAAAAAAAAAAATGGCAGAAAGCAAACCTTCAAGATTATTAGGGGAGTTAAAATATTATGAAGGTGTCGCTAAAGAAAATATTGGTAAAGTTATTAATAGTGAAAGATTGATAAATGAAGGTGAATCTGATAAATTAGCTGGAGAATCTGAGCGTGATGCGGCTTCAGGTCGTATGAATGTTAATAAAGGAATTTAAATTTTTATTGCGCATTATTTCGAACGGTCTTAATTTAAATTTTTTTTTTTATTTAGGCAAGAAAGCTGAAAAGACTACCAAAACGCCGGATTCGATCAAAAAAGAAGGGACAGTAACGGATGAACTTGTTGATATGATTCGGAAAAGCAAATTGTAAAAACGAACTTCTATCTTTAGTTATAAGAAAACTTGATCTAAAGAAATAATAAATATATATTACTTGTATACTTGCTAATTTACAACAATATTACATATCTAAATAAATTAATTTTTGGGGGGAATTATTGGTAAATTTGGATCAATATTTAAATATTCGGCAGTAAAAATTCTAAATATAGTGTTTAGATTAAAAAAAGCTGCTTCATCAACGGCAGTAGCGTTATCCTGAAAAAATAAAAAAAAAAAAGGGTCCATTAATTTCTTTTCATTTCTCTCAATAATAATTTATGATTTAAATACATACAGAAGGCTTATGCCAACATTCGGGAAATGGCCAAGGAATAACGTGTAAAACAGGAACGCCTCTTTGTAAGAAAGGAATATAGTCGTCTTCAATATGAGCTTGGTAAGTGTATATAGAATCTGTATCAAAATATGAAATATCTTCCAACTTGGTTTCTTTGGGATCTTGCATTCCATGCATTCCATGCATGTCATGTGATGTTTTAAGTAATTTACTTTTAAATAAACGAGCCTCGATTTTAGATAATTCAATAAATAACCAAGAAGTTGTTGTAAAGAAATTTGATATTAACGGTTCTTTATAACCCAAAAGATCTAATAATACAAACACTTCAATACTACTAAGTACATTTTTAGCTTTATTTTGCGAACCGTCTGTTTCTACAACATATTCGTTTTCCCACTTAGCCGCTAAATGTCTTTTGTTAAGAGAAATCAAATAATAAATCAGTTCAAGTTTTAAACATTAAGATATCATTATTTTTCTTTTCGTACCTTGATCCATAAAGAGAATCCGTAGCAGTCCAGCTTTTAAAAGCTTCTTCACCATCAAGGAAAATAATTTGAAGAGTTGTAGAGATAGATTCAGGATCTCTATTATCGAAATAAGGATCTAATCTAAAAGCTAAATCCATTAACATAGCGCAAGACACGGCTGAATCAGTGGCACCAATAAATCCATCATTTGGTGGTTCAAAATATTTGGAATCATAATGAGCAGCTAATACAAGTTTCCTTGGTGCCTTAATGTCTTTGGTTACAATTATATTATTAAAAGTGATTTCTCCTATTGGTGTTGAATCTGTAAATTTGTCTTCTTCTACGTTCCATCCTAATGTTTGAAACTTTTCAATAATATATTTTTGTACTTTAAGATTCCCTTCACTACCGGAAACTCTAGGAAGTAATATTGGAGTTAAATAATCTTCAATGAGTTGTTGAGACTCAATTTCTGTCATATTTGCCAAAAGAGAATATCCTTTTTCGGATAATTGCTTATATGCACTTATACATCGACATAAACATAAAAAAATTATGACAAATTTTAATTTTATCATTTTAAATTTTCAGTTTTTCAATTTGAACAGCACAAAAAAAAAATGCTTATATATCTTTTAAAACGACAAATTTGAACAGCACGACATTTTACCAAAAAAAATGGCTTATATATCTTTTAAAACGGCATTAGCCATATATAGAAAATAATTTGATTCGGTAATGTGGGACATTCGAATTTGATGTAACTCGACAGATGAAACTAATTATAATAAAGTTGCTAATTATAACTGCAGGCGATATCACCGACCATATAGCCACGTGATTACCGAAGTTTTAATATACCGTTAAAGAATTTAATATTTATATTTATACTGTTACTATAATTAAACGTATTAATTCTTCAATTTTTTCAATTAAGACTTTGCAATTTCGCATATCATGTCCGGTTTCTTGACAACGTTTACACTTTCGCGTCTTTTTCTGGTTGCCATTATCATCTACATTAATGTTTTCATTCTCCTTAAATCTCTTGGTTGTTTTCTGATTTTCACCACTTTGGTAACGTTTTGGTGACCGTCCATGTAGTGGATTTGCACAATTAATTTCAGCAACTTGGTCATTTAACTCAACATTGCCAGCTTGCTTCGCAACAAGTATTTTGATTTCCTTTAATATTTCAGCTTGCTTCTCATCAATAAAACTTGAAACATACCATAGACTTCGTTAAAACGATCTGATTTTTGTGCTATATCTAAAAGTTTTTTGACCTAGCTTTGATGAAATAATTTTTTGTAAAAACTTGTGCCCCACGAATCTGCTGAAGTTGATTAAAACTTTAATAATCTGGTTTAGCTATTGTCATATTAAGATTGTTAGGTTTGACAATAGTGTTTTAAGCCGACTGTATAACGGTCGACTGACTAAGTTATCGGCCAAGTCGTCAACTTAGTCGACTAAGTCACTCAGGGGCTAATGCAGGGTATCCGGTATTTGCATATCGCATTTTGTGCATTTTGCATGTTACGAAAACACATTAAATTTATTTATATTCAAGATTTTTTTTGATTTTTTGTGACTATTTAATGAATAAAAGCTGGTTTTATTTATTGTAAACAACATGATGATTTAAAATTTTTTATTTGAATAAAGTGTAACTAAATGATTATTTTCTTTTAAACAACAAATCATGAACAGTTTTTTTGGTTTAAGCGATTCCTTTTGTCAGTGATAATATTACCTGCATCGGAAAAGAGTCTTTCGGATGGGACAGATGTGGCAGGTATAGATAAGAATCTACAAGCTTGCCTGGATAATAAAGGAAAAGTATCTTTTCTTTCATACCACCATTGTAAGGGATCATGAAAATGATATTGAGGTTGATTTAAAGGTAAAACAGATAAGGTAGGAAGTTGTAAATATAGAGAGATTTTTGTATCAACTGTAGGAGGTTGGGAAGATATATTGTGATTAAATAAATCTAAAAATATGAAAGTGGAATTTGAAAAAATAGGTGCTACAGACGGTGACAGTGGAGTTTCTAATACTTCAATTCGCCTTTTCAAATTTTGTTTAGTAGTTTCTATTTGATCTGTAAACAAAAAAGTTAAAGATTTAAATCAAGGATCCAAAAAACTAGCAATGCAATCTAATTCATCAGAAATGTCCTAACGTTTAGATAAAGATTTCAAAATTTCATTACATGTTATTTTGATTTATGAACTTTTAATGTTGTGAATTATATTTTTGAGGTAATCTCTTAAACAGTACAAAGTTAAATACTATAATGAAAGAGTCAGATATGTGCGGCCTGATGTAAAATTAGTTGCATCTACAAATGGTCAAAGTAATAAAATTAATTCTTCTAAAGCTATTCAGTTTTCAGAACTGAGTAATAATTTTTTTAAATTATTACCATCAATATGAGTAGATCTATTAGGATTTAAAATGAGCTTATCAGCTAATGCAGATATTGTATTATAAAAATAAATAAGTCATTCTAATAAAAAAAAAGTATTATTCCAATGTGTATCTGTATCAAATATTATGAGATCTAGAATTCTAATTTATGGATCTTTATTTCTAATATTAAAAAATAATTAATATTATTATTAATGTCAACATTAAATTTAAAAAATACCATTTGTTTCATTTATTTAATGAAATATTACTTTTAATAAGTTATAATATTTATTATAACTTGATATAAAATTAATCAATTTTTTGGCTGTATCATATAGATAAGAGACGAAACCCTTAATAACAGTCGAAACTTAGACGAAACTATATTAAAATCATAATAAGGGATATGACAAAACCCATTCGATACGATGAAAGCTGAAACTGTCGAAACTATATTAAAAATATAGAAAAGGGTATGACGAAATTATTTTGAGGAGGTTTCGGTAGGCATCTATACTGTATCAATTAGATTTATAATATTTTTTAACACATCTTTAATTGTAAGTTGCTTAATATATACTATATAATGAATATGATTTATTTCTAATTGATACATAGTTTTTACTATTAAAAATCATTATCTGTTATTCCTCTAAATAACTTTAACATAATATTCCATTTTTGAAATTTATTATATAAGCAATTTTTAATATTATTACCTATTCAAAGTTGCAATTTTAAGTAACACTTGGTTAATTTTGAAATCTGATAATATCTAATAGATTGTAATTCTAATATAAGATGAATGATTTTGTATCTATAGATCAGTTGTAAAAAACACTTCTATAGAATTTTTCATAAACTCATCTAAATTTTTTTCTCCAATACTAACAGTTTCATTCATTTTTTTTATATAGATTATTTTTATATAAAATCAGATAAGATAACTCTAATTTATAAATAAATTCTCAAAATTTTATATTATCTATTATATGAAAAGCTTGTATATCATCTATTAGCCAAGCTAATAAACAACATATAATTTTTTTGTTCAAGAGAAATATATTTTTCGTGTTCTGAAACTTCTATAGATTCAGTTTCTCTTCTATCAATAATTCTATATTTACTTTTTAAATAGCTAATAATGTTAATTGTACTTGTTTTTTTTTGACAAAACTATTTACATTGTTATTTAGTACTATTTTCTTTAATTAAAAATAGACAGTGTTTTTTTAGAATAAATGATTAAATATAATTTTTAGCTTTTCTTTTTGCTAAAATAACTTAAATATGTAAAATAGTAAACGATGTTTTATTATTCTCTAAAGAATTATTTATGATTAATCATACTAATTGTATTAATATAAAAGCTTGAAAAGTTTGATCATTTTATAAGAAATTTTGTATAGTTATAATTTAAATAACCTTTAAAATTTATACAATACATGTTTTAAAATTTATAAAAAATAAGAGATATTATGAACAATAACATATATTTAAGAATTATGAGCAATAAAAAATTATCCAATTAAATTATAAAAGATAAAAATAGAATAATTATGACTAAGTCAGCTAAGCTGATCAGGAGTTAGCTAAGTTGACTGAATCCTGATCAGCTTAAAACACTATTTAACAATAATAATTATTTAGTTAAATTTGAATTCTGATTAAAATCTTTAAATTTCAGATTATTGTATCAAAATTGATTAATTAATGCAATATTAAATTCACAATTCAGACTTTTTTATATAACTTTGAAAAAATGTTTACAAGAAATCCTATAATTTATCAAAAGATTATATGTATAAAATGATTTCCATTCATTAAAAGAATAACGATTTATAAATGTGTTGGTAACAATTCAGACTTAACCTATCAAATTTCTATAATTAATTCTAACTAAATACATTTAATTAAACTTTTGAGTAGAATCTGCTTAGTTTTATAATCATCTTTCTGAAATCTATTTTCATAAATTAAATCATTAATTAAAATCTAAAAATAAAAATAAAAATAATTAGACTCTACAATCAACTCTTGATATAGCGAACTCTTGATATAACGAATTTTTTGAACAAATATAATAAAAATACTCTTGTTAT